CGGCGGCAGGAGCCCCGCGACGGTGCTCGGCCGCCTTCCCCGGTGTCGGCGGCCGCCCGGCTCCGCGGCCCGAGCGCTGCCGGGTGACTCAGCTCTGAGTCTCCTTAGGAGAGTCCTAATTCCCCGCAGCTTTCCCGGCCTTATAAGGAGCGATTGCAGAGTTGGGCTCGTTTGGCTAATGGGTTATTACGGTGATAAGCGCCTCTGTAACGCCGGCGATCTCCAAACACCGGAGCTGTTTGCTGCTGATCCTTGGCGATACCCTCTGGGTCAGGTCAGGCCTGTTTCTTATTTAACAGTCGGGACAGACGGCCGGACGGAGCGCCTTCCCTGCGGTTGCAAAATGCCGGCGTTGGGAATCGGATGGTGCCGCCTCTCCTCCGCCCGGGATGTGGTTGGGATTTGCGTGGTTCCCTCTTCCCCCGGGAGCGGAGTCGGTGCCTCTCCCTCCAGCCAAGCTTTTCCCAAGTGGGGTTTTTTGGGGGGCCGGATGGTGAAAAATAGACCAAAAGGTTTACAGTCGGCTTTGGCGCCCCTGAAAGCCCATCCGTGGTTGTCCTTAGCCGATGCCGCTCGCCCTCGTTTCCAGGGGCCCCGGCTCCTGCCGGGTGGTGGGACCCAAAGGGCCGCCGGGATTTTGGGATCGCCTCCTGGAAGGGCGCTGGACCGGAGCGTGGCCGTCCTGCCGAAAAGCCTCCACCGACCCACCGACGGCAGCAGTCACCCAAACCTGGCCAAGCTCTGCCGGTCGCGGTTAATTCCCGAGGCTGGTAGTAAAAGCCGTAAACACGCGGTGCCGGGCTGGAGTCGCTCTCGGGGTGCCGGGTTGGGGCCTTAAGAAGCATTTTCTGTACGAGATGGGGTTATTTTCCAAGCAAGAGATGAGCACGAGGCACTCCATCGTCTTCCCAGCACTGACCACATGGTAAAACCCTCCTGCCTTCCCCGGCAAATAACCGGAGGGGCCCGAAACCCGCTGCCCCCTCCGCTGCGGGGCTGTGAGCAGGAGGTGAGTGCCGGCAGAGCGGGTTTAATGCCCGCAGGAGGCAAAGGAGCGGGGCAGGGGAGTCCCCGCAGCTCCCATGCTCCTGCCCTGGCCGAATTTGGCACCCTGGAGGGGGAGGACAGCGTGTGCCGGCCACGGGGTCCCTCTCGGTTGCTCCGGCTTTACACCAGAGAAGCTGCTTCTCCTGGAAACCGCCCCGGCGCCGGCAAAGAGCCGATGAAACTTCGGCTGCGGGACGGTAAGAGCCCAAAGCTCCAAAATAACTGCCTGAGAGCATTGCCAGGACCCGGCGCGCCGGCGACGCATGAGACGAGAGCCAAATTAAATGCCTCCTCTCCTCCGTCCGCCCGGCCCCGACCAGGCGCAGCTCACCGCAGCCGAGGCCGCTGCAGACAAACAAGCTGGGCAGGGAGGGGATTGCTTCAGCCCGGCTGCGCCTTCCGCCGCCTGCACCTGCCTCGGCCTCCTTAAAAGCATTCGCCGCGCCGAAAATGCTGGTTTTCTCCCCCGGTGGTCCGGAGAGCCTCGCTCAAAACATCCGTCCCTCTTGTGTCTCGCCATCCCTCTGCCTCCCCCCCCCTTCCCCGGCGCGGACTGCTCTTCGCTTCGTGCCACAAGCAATTTGCGTCGGCACGACGGCGGGTTGATCCCGGAGCAGGGGGGTGGGGGTTTTTTGAGGGGGGGTCTGCTGGGGTGGAAAGTGCCCACGTGCCGATGGGGGTGGTTTTGGCTGCAGGGATGGAAATGGGCTGGTGCTCGTTTCTTATCGCAGCAAATCTTCCCCGGGCGAGCGATCTCCTTGGCAGCGTCCCACCCTCGCGTGGGCTTGACGGGACGGGGACGGCGAGTGAGGGATGCCGGCGCTTGTAAACAAAGCGGCGAGTAAGGACGCGCGAAGGGGCGGACGTGCTCTGCCGGGCTCGTGCTGTGCCGAGGCTGCTGCCCTGCCGTCGCCGCCCGCTCCGTGCTCTTACCCACGGCTTTCCCCGTGTCCCGTTTGCTTTAGGCTGCGCGGAGGTGATGGGTGATGCTTTGCGTGCGGGCACCGCCGTGGGCCGTTCTCCCTGCCCTAAAACCCCGAGCGCCTCTCACATCTTCCCAAAACCGCGGAGCGCGCTGCGTCCGGCCGCTCTGATGTTTTTCTGACCAAAGTTTCCAACTCCTTGGGTCTTGCCGAGGAAAACGTTCCCTGGAGTAAAAGTTGCAGACAAGTGTCTGGTTGAACGACCAGTGCTGCTGAGTGCCGGCAGAGGCCACGTGAAGCCCCTCCGGGATAACCGCCGTGGCGGGGCAGCGCGGGGGTCTGGCCACGTGTTTTGGGATCCGTAGGAGGGCTCCTCGTTTCCCAGGAGCCAGAGTTTGTGCGAGCAACGTACACAAAATATTTTGGAAACAAACAGATGGCTTGTCGAGACTTGGATGGCGAGGAGAGCGCCTGGAAGCGGGGCGGCAGGAATACCTTGACGTTGCTTTTGGAGAGCAGGAGGGTGACGTGGCCGAGGTGTGGCGAGGGGCGGGCGCCCGGCACTGCGCGGGCACCTACCCCGGCTCCGCGGTGCTGCCGCCCGAGAGCCCGCCGCCGTCGCACGCCGTGCAACTCCCGCTTCCGCGTGTACCTTTAAGAAGA